TTTATTAAAGAGTAACACCGAAAGTATCAATCATAGAAATTTAATTATGAATTTTTCACTTTTTCAATTTATGCACATGCAATGATTCAATTATATAAGGTTGTGTTCTATAATAACAGCGTGCTTCTTCTAACGCAAATAATTTTTTATTTTGAATATAAAATATACTTGTTTACCTTTTTCTCAAGTCTTTCTCCTCACCTTTTTTATACTTTAACGATTTCGGGGCACTTATAATCTCTTGGTATTTAGTAGATACTCAAAAAAGACATTCATGTTGGCTAGAATGTTGGAAAATATAATTATGAATAATAGAAATAAAGCAAAACAGCTGATTTTGGCATTGTGGGTGAAAGCAGAAATTGATTTTTTTTTTTTGGCAGCGGCAGAACTTTATGTAATTGAGTCATAGGCAAATTGAAAAAATATTGACAACAAATTAAAATTTTTTTTTTTAGTTTTATTGGATATCGTGTTTCGATTGTAGCAAGAATTTCCCTTAAGGGTATTAATTTTTGCGTGAGAGTTTGGGTACACAACGCTGGTATTTACATATATGCATGCAATGTACAAACATTCCACATTTCGTAATTTCCACTTGCCTGTGGTAAATATTTACATTTTACGAATTTTTTACACAAAGCAAATTTAATCATTATAGGTTATTCTTTTGAGGTTGTATTTAATAAAAAAAATTCAAAATTGGGTATTTTCCATATATATTCGTTATAAAGGTAAAAAAATAATGATATTTGAAAATACATTGATCATTGCTGAGTATAAAGACACTATAACAGCAGTCTTCGATTCGCCAAGCGTTGGAGAGTAATGCATCGAACAGACCACATATGTCAGTTGTAAAATATTTACTTCATATATTGTCGTATTAACTAATTTGTGGGCAGACAATATTCTTAGTGCGATTGCCACTGCTTAGAAGTTAACTCAACTTTGTTTTTATAGCTACCAAGGAGAGTAGAACATGCATAAAAGCTGCGGGGTAAACATTTAATTTAGGTGACTCGGGACTCGGTGTAATATCACACGAGTATCTGCACGTGTTATATAATTTTTTCAAAAAAAAAAAAATAGTTCTTGCAACAAACCAAAGTCTAGTCAGAATAAAATTTAATTGACACTCACGCCCAGCAAAATTCTCTTACAAAAAAAATTATAACCACTCAGAAATTATTATTTTAATTGAAAAATGTATTAGGATTTTTTTCAGTGTATTGCCACTTGGAGCACTTTTTTACGTAGACGCTTCATTCAATGTGCTATTTGATAGATGTAATTTGCATTTGTTATTTCTTTTGTCATTGGCTTTGGACTTTCAGTTTCATTTCGGTTTTATGCGTCAGTGCGATTTTACACGATAAGAAAAAAAAATACAAACTACAAGTATTAAAAACAACAAAAAACGAATAGCAATAAAGTCACAACTGATAGCTGTAATGCTTCAGCGCTTGACAGCAATGACAGCAAAATACTTCAGCCGGCGTACATGAAGAGTAACAAGAAAGAGTCAAAACCGAACCAAAAACAAAGCAACAACAAGCGCATGATAACACAGCTACCATTTGCGGCGGCGATAGCTGCGCTGGCGGATTATGACAATAATCGCCGTTGTCAGCATGTTAGGCGAACAATAATTGCTGTCAGCGTGGCGAAGCAGAAAAGTGGCTATCAAATGTATTGTAGTAAAACAAAGAAACATGAGTAAATTGATCAAAGTGACAAACAAATAAACGCAAGCTCAGCGGCTGGTACTGACGTTTTCAAACATACATACATACTTTACGATATTTAAAGGCAGAACAGCAAGGCCACATAGAACAGCACAAGATAATTAATTGGAGATATTTCACTAAAAGCTAAATTGAGTTGGTTTTGGAGAATACCAGTATTTTTGTAAATTTAACTAAGTAACTCTTTCAGTATAAAATTTATATATTTTCATTATTTTCCATTCGATAGTTTAAGAATTATTTATGCAGCAAAGACTTTCGCCTTCATCTACATAGTCAACTTGAGTGCTCTCAACAGCTCGCCCAAATCGTTTTTTATCTAATTTTATCTCTCCAACCACAAATTTGAACGACACACTGCCACAACCCAGAATTTCACAAATTGTACGCCATCAGCAGTGTCACTTTGCAGTTATACCGTCTCGCAGTTTATTTGCCTGTCTCTCGAACGCTCAACTCAACCCAACCCAACCCAGGTCAACCCAACACAACTCAACGCGACGCGGTTGTCCAGTCTCTCAATGTATGCAGTAGTAATTGCTCCTAAGTGTATTGCATTAAGTGCGTGACTCCGACATTGTTGCAAATTTTGTGGTCTAGTAACAATCAAGGGGTTGAGATGGGTTAGTAACTATTGTTACCCCACTAAAGTCACATACATATATCCTTGCAGCCATAGCAGTGAATCGAGAACGAGTTTGAGGGTGTTGAGTGCAACGAAGAGACAAACTTTCTTCTTGGGTTGTGTGTATATGTGTGTGTGGGTGACTGAACTAATTCGTTTACGGTCATTTGAATTTGGCTAACACGTTCAACTAACTGCAAGTGAAATCAAATTTACGCTGACAGTTAAACAATGGACTATGAAAGTGAGAAGAAGACAAGAGTGAATGTGACACGCTCGCAGTGGGAGAGGCATTTTCGAATATAGAACAGTGCGCTGTGCCACGAAAACTACAAATTTAGTGAAAGTAGAAATACATTTTGTTTTAATGTTCAAAGAATTTAAGGTCGCTTATGTAAAAAATCTGTCATTTAAAGAACTAAGAAGGAGTAATTAGAATAAAGCTGAATAGTTTCTAAGGTTTAGTTAAAGGTTTTCAAGATTTCTTACGAAATTCTCAACCGATTTTAATGAAAGTTTACACAAGTCTTCGAGATATAATTTACAACGTGTTTAATGAAGCATTTTCTTCCATAACAATTGTTTACCAAAAAAAAAAAACATTGAGAAGTTTTCACCAAAACTTCTTATAAAAACACAATTTTCCCTTTTTTTCCTTCGTCCAATACCAAGTTTATGGTCCTTATTATAACACGTATTCTTTTCTTTTACTTCATGGATACTGCAAAAAGTTTTGCTGTTAACACGGAGCCACCTTTTTTCAAAGGGACTGCCGAAAATGACGTCGTAATAACCGAGTTTTGAATATATTCCTTTGAAGATTTCAAAAAATCTTTGTAAAAATTGTATTTGTGGAATAATAAAAAATTTTAAACATGTATCTAATATTTTTAAGAAAAAAATTACTGAAAATAGGAAGGAATTTACGTGCTTTGAGCAAAACTAATATTCTTAGGATTCAATGAATTGTTAGAGTTCTTCATTATGAGATAAGCTTTGTAATATCATAAACCAATTTTTTCTCTCTTTTTTGGAATTTTTCAAATAAGTCTTGTTTTTGCGAAGCCGCCATTTTCATCCAAATTTTGACTATGTCTATTCTTATATAATCTATTGTATAGATAAATTGTTTTGATTTATGGATTTGGGCTAATTTTAAGCAGAAAAATCTTCCTCACCACCAGATACCTGCTTTCCTACATAGATCAGCGTAAATAATTTTTGAAAAAAAAAAAATTTTGTAGGATGAAACCCAACAGAGAAAAAAGATAAAATAGCAGGCAAATGAAAAATATTTTACGGGCGATCTGAGGTCGGAACAAAGAATGGGAGGAGCGTAGTTGAAGTTTTAAGGGTTAAAAACGGTTTATCTCGATTTCCGGTGTTTATGTGATAAATTCAAATAACCAAATTTTGGGCTTTTATTTTTATTTTGTACAAAAAATGTTTTTCTTTTATGAAATTTGCTGTAAACTTACCTTCTTATGTCCTAAATATACTGTATTTTTTTTAAATTTAAAACATTAAGGAAGAAAAAATTGCATTTTTTTTTTAGTCAGTAGCCATTGTGTTTCTTAAAATCTCTATTTTCTGGTGGTATATAATATATATGGTATATATTACTATGATAATTTTATTTAGAAAATGCCCCACTAAACAGCTGAAAAGCGATAAAAAGCTGCTTTTGGATTATTTCACCTACCTATTATTTCGTAGTAGCACCTGTAAAAAAAAGTTATCGTTTAATTGAGTCTTTTTTTATATTCGGAGCAATTAATAAAGTTTTTATTTATATATTTCTATTCCAAAAAAATTACCACATTTTATGTTTTTTCCTAATTTTATGTTTAATCCTATAATCCTTAAAGAAGAGAGATTAGAAAAAAAAATTTTTTGTAAATAATTGTAAACTGAAATCAAATTCAATGTATTATCTCTAGCCTATATTATTTTCTGAAGTGGTTCACCATTTTATTAAATACTTAAAAGTGCCACACGTGACGTTTGTTTACATAATGCCGGCTCATCGCCACTTACTCGCATGTTCAACAAGTTGTGTCCACTTTGATTTCGCATTATGCTTTCAAGCTCAAGATAAACATAAACATAGCGTACACAATAACACACACAACATAACATTGATGTGCATGTACATACATATAAGTGTGCGAATTGTTTGTGTTGATTTCATTCATCGTTCGAGTTTCATTGCTCTTAAGATCAAAGTGCTCTAAGTATTTGGATCATAAAAACTAACAACAACAAAAACTAAATTTCTATTTTTCTCGTGTCAGCAATGAAATGCGTAAATATATGATTCTAACTATTATACTAGACATACATACAAACGCTTCGTTTTTTGCATTTTGATTGACATGGCTAAGTGTGTGTGTGTGTGTGCGTGAGATACGTAATTAGGGCGTGAGAAATGTGAAATTTTGTATTGTTTACGGCAATTTGGTAAGAGCAATTAACACATAGATTTTATGACTTTTCGAGTATTATAAAATAATTAAACAACTTTTTTTTTTTTAACGATTTGGATCGATATTAAACTCAAGTTTATGACAAAGAAGAAAAAATAAAGAATTTCTAATTTTTTCTAATTTTTTTCTAATTTTTTACAGAAGTTTAAGCACTTATAGTCCGCTAAAATAAGAGCTGGTTGACACTGTTGGCGATAAGAGCAAAAAAGTTAAAGAAACAGTGCTAGAAAAGCATCTCTGACATCAGAGAGATAGCAGCAGAGCATAACATCTCTTATGGGATGACACTATTTTGGTTGATGTTAAGGGTATGAAGCGTGTGAATGCGAGACTTGCCTAAAAATAGATACTGGACAACTCAGCTGAATACCCTACATTCATAAAATACATAATTACTGGTAACGAGACGATGGTTTATGAATATGACGTCGAAACTGTCCGACAATATAGCAAATGATGTTTCAAAATTAGCCGCATCCAAAAAACCACGTCAAAGTCGGGCAAAATTCAAGTTGATGCTCATCGTTTTCTTTGATTACCGTGGTATGGTTCACCATGAATTCTTTTTCCACTGAGTCTTATAATAAATGTTTGGAAAATTGAATGTTTGTATTGGCTCAAGAGGGGTCTATTTTGAATGCGATAATAAAGATTTTATTAAAATACGTGCAATTTTTGTAATTTTTTTTTTTTTTTGGTCTGACTATATGTTATTAAACGGATTTAGACAAAAAACTTAATGTAGGAGCACATACTTGTATATAGTGGATATGTAAGTGAAATTTGTGGATATGTAAGTGTGTGATAAAATGTGTCTCGGATAATAAAAAGTACAGACATATAAACTTTCACTGGATATGCATATCATCAGGATTAAGCCATTGACAGAGGACTATGCGGCGAATAAAAATACATATATATTTAGGTAACATTTATATAGGAATGCCGAGCAATAATACGCATGGGTTGCCCTTGCCCCTGTCGTAATCGCACATGTGGGCCCAATTCGTACGTCATTGTCATTTGTCATGCTGTAAATTTCCAGTCGCCGTCAGCTAACGATCTGTCTATGAGAGGACACAAACACGATTCAATTTCATACCCTCATATAGACTTAATAAACTAAAACGGAAGAAGGAAAACAAATTAAAGCATAATACAAAAAATAGTATATTCTAAGCTCCAAAATAAATGGTATAAATGGAGGTGACACATATACTTGTATTTAAGGAATTTTCATGCAGATATATACATACATATATTATATATATATATATATTATATATATACATAGGTATGAATGAGTCTGCGAGTTGTAGTTGCGGCTACCCTTGACGCATATCAAATTCTGCTTGTGGTGGCAGACTCTGATTTACAGTTACAGTAATTTCAAGCCCACATAGCGGCCTACATTTTCTGCGGGCATTAAGCATATGTGTTTAGGTAGCATGTATGGTATATTTCTAGGTGATAGTGGAACATGAAGAGCTGAAAACTTTAACTAAGAATGACGTGAATTTACTTTCTTCATGTTAACTTTTGTGGTAGTTTCTAACTCTTGATAACAGTTTGAATAAATGTGCAGTCGTTTCTTGAAACCAGATACTTTATTAGGTAATCTTCGTTGATTTCTTTTAGAAAATTAATTAAAATAAATTTCCTTGTTATTTCTTTGATAGCTTTCGTATGAAGAACATTTTCATTAATTTAGTTACATATTAGTAAAGCAGAAAATATGAAAGGAAAGGAACAAACATGTTACATAATATCTTAATGAAGAATTGGTGTGAATAATGGCTTCTAAAAGAAATTGCATAAATATTGTATTAAGCTCTTTAATCCTTTTCAAGCAGCACACTTTTGGGCACGTTAAATAAATGTATAAATATTTTTAAAAACATCAAAAGCTAGCAAAAAGCATTTCGCTACAAAATCTAATCAAATCAAATTTAATTAAAATCGACGGCTCAAGGAAAACTACAACAAAATGTGTGATTGAGCTTTTCTTGTTTTGGTTTTCCACAAATTCACTGGCTCAATCATTTTTTGTGCAAAAAAAAAAAAAATTAAATGGATATGATAATAACAATAAAATTTGTCTCGCAACTTCTAGAGAAGCATGTGAGGTGGAGCTGCGATAAAGATAACTTAAAAAAATGCAATAAAAAAGTGTAATTGAGACAGACATAAGCACACGTAAATACGCATAAAATGCATATTGATTAGACGCTTTTAAAGTTTTGCTATAAAATTGCAATCCGTAAAAAGATAAATAAAAATTAAAATAAAAACGCATTCCAACGACAAAAGAGCATAAAGTTTAGCGCGAACAACTTTACAAATTGCCGTGCTAAGTCGATTTAGACTTGTTCTATGCATTCTCAGAATATGTGTTAGTCAAGTAAGCATATGGTAGATGAAAAAATGGCGCAACGAAACAGTTATACAGTTTTCACACTTACATATGTTTTTCTAAATTTATATTACTTTGAATGGCAAGACATTTTTTTGTTATTTTTTTAAAATTGAAATAAATGAATTTCGAAAAAATACAATATGTGTGATTAAAAAATAATGAAAGATTTGACTGATCAAATAGAAACATTTTAATTTAAAATTCTGCCACTGGCGTTGGGCATGACCAAGATTGTAAATAATGCATTATCAAATAATTTAATAATTAATAATTTTAAAATTTATAGTCCAAACTACTGGATTGAAAAATAAAAAGATATTTTTAATCTCCAATACCGGATTACAAAAAATGTTTTAATACCAAACTAATAATACAAAAATAAAACAAAATGTTTTTGAATTAACCTTTTTTCAAACGGAGCCATCATATTGAATACTTTTATTTTCGCCCTTTTTATAGCTGCCATACAAACTGAACAATCGGAATAGATATTCTATTTAAAAATTGAATATTTAATTTTTAATCCAAATTTTTTTAATTAAAAGATTCACAACTCTGGGCCTTATAAAAAAAAAATTAAGGAAAAATTTGCGAAAAAAAAATTTCGAAAAATTTGAATTTGAAATTTGAAGCTAAGTTTAGTTTAGATACTACTCAAGCAGTATAAAAACGTTTTACGAATGTCTCTACTTAACGAAGTAATGTTCATAAAAATCATGAAAATGAACTAGAAAGGCTTGTACGTGCTTACAATGTTAAACAAATTTTATTCCTAATTATAATTTAATTAACCCAAAATTAGTTTAACCCCAAATTTAAGCGACAATAAGTTGGCCCTTCCGCGTGGCATGCTTACAACCACAACAAAACATTTTGCTCTTCCCAATTCCTTTCACCTTTGCTGGAGCAGCAAAATTTTAACTTGATTTTTGCTTTTTCTATTTATAGATACCTATTGCTGGCCGCTTTTAACGATTTCTAACAGTCTGCAATGTTAGTTGCCTAAAATAATCAACTGCCAAGTAAAATTTGTAAATAAAGTTAACTTTAGCGCTTTCACTCTTTGATATACATCACTCACTAATTATACATATATACCATACATACAGATAAGCATGCCACTATACTTGTATTGTCATTTTAATTACCATGCCAAATATCGGGCTTTCCAATAGGCATGATATAATATGATTTCTAAATGTCGTTTCGGCCATTTTCAATATTTAATTGTATTCAGTAATGTTTACAATTTCATCGTGAAAAGATATGCGCAAGAACAACGTTTACAAATTTTTAAATTTTATTATCGAAATAATCGTTCATTTTATGGTCGTTATGGTTGTGGTGAGTGGTGCGGTAAATAAACAAAACTGTCGATTTTGGTGCGACAAAAATTCACAAATTATTCATGAACAACCATTACATTCACCTCAATTGACATTTAGTGTGGGTTTTTGGTCTGGTGGAATCATCGGTCTGTAGTTCTTTCGAAAAGAAGCTAATGACGCCGTTACTGTCAATGAAGAGCGGTATAGATCGATAATAACGAACTTTTTATGTTCGCAATTGGAAGAAGTTGATCTTGACAACATCTGGTTCCAACAATTTTGGCGATTCGATTATTTCAAGAAATTGTGAGATTGAATGGCCTCCAAGAAGTTGTGATTTAACACCATTAGACTACTTCTTGTGGGGTTATTTGAAGTCATTGGCCTTTAGTTAAAAACCAGACTATCTTCAAGCTTTAGATGTCAATAATGAACGCGTGACATGACATATGACTTAATTTAGTGGAAAAAGTACTCGAAAATTAAGTTCTTTCACGCAAAAGAAGTTCTGGAGGCCATTTGAATGATGTTATATTCGGAACTTAATTGTATCAATTGTAATTCTCATTAAATAAAAAACTATTTGAATTTCATTAATATTAAGTTTTTTTTTTAATTTTTTACCTTATTATCTTATTGGAATAACCTATACTTCTGGTAATAGTCATAAATACTATCATTATTTTATATGAAATTCATTGATGAGGAAGCCCACGCATAAAGTGACGCCACAGAGCGTAATGTGTGTATGTGTGGGTTCGTGTTTATTGTGAGCTCGTAAATATGTGTCAATGATATGACATTAAAGGTGCATACGCGTATATTTATAGACACACATATATCCCGTAAATTTGTCGTTCATAAATTACCACAGCAATTCCAGGGTGTTTTTGTGCGCTTACTGCGGATTTCGCCCCCCCAACTTCAGCGAAGTACTCTTACGTGTCTGTATGCGTTAAATCATGCGTACAGAATACATATGGTTCTTATAATATTTTCGTAATTCCTGCAGTGCGCCTCAGTATTTCCCATTACCAATGACACAGTTCCCCCCTCCAACATCTGCTCGCCTTTGCCTCAGCCGCCACATGTTTTTTATCCACCACTCGCTTGTGTTTTGAAAATTACGCTCAATGTTATTCATTGAAATACGTGTGTGTGTATGTATGTATGCATGTACTTGAACAAATGAGTACTCGAATTTAGCATGGTAATTGTAATAATTTCCTCTGATTATAACAATATACAATTTTGATTCTTATCACTATTCTGCGCTTTTTGAATACTGATGATATTTTTTATTATTTTTTTTTTTATTTTATTTTATGTTTTGATTTGTTTTGCCCTAGTCCGGATCATAATTGATCAGAAGTTATTTAATACTAAATCTTCAGGTTTTTTCACGAAAATAATTGATTCAAGCAAAATCCACGCTGTGAAAATATATTGCTTTCTCAGTTTCACTTACGAATTCACCAAAGACTTTTTCATTTTAGTTTTCTTTTAATGAATATGATCTGCAATTTAATATGAATTTTCTGCCTAATGTGTGAATGTAAAGTGAGCAGACAGGTTGTACAAGTCTACTTAAAAATATTTACAACAAAAAATAACGCGTTAAAAATAATCTGAAAAGTTGAATGTTGATGCTTAATTGTGCACTGGGTGCGCGCTCATTCAAATGGATAATCTGCTGCAATGCTGGTATTAAGTCAAATGACTAAATATGTTTTGCCATAAGTGTTGGTAATGTGTGATTGTGTTGGCTAAGCCTAGTTTAATGTTAAGAACTTAAAAAAATTTACACAATGTTTCTTAATTTTAAGCGGAAAATTTTAAAAAATACGAAAATGAAAAAGTAACTATAAAACAAACTTTAAGGGGGGTTATATCCACTTTTGAATTTCAAAAAATCGAATTTGCTTATATTTATATCGAATGTACATAACTATATATATATTCATCCAGAAAATATTTTCGGAGATACGAACGTATGTATATGTAAAAATATTTTAATTCAACGTAATCGGCTCTCCGAAAATTTAACCGGTTTTTCTCGAAACGCTGTTTTCCGAGTCGAAACTACAGGTTGGTTAAAATGTGAGTAGTGCTCACCAAGAAAGCGCACTACTAGCTTCAATTTTTTTTCTCAAGTTGGTAGATCTCTCGTGAGAACACATGCAAAGTTATAAGTCATTCTGTCAATTAGTTCTTTGTTTGCAAGCCATTTGAAATTGACGTGTCAAAGTATCTTTTTAATATGGAAACAATTTTATATTCGCCAGTAATTAGAATCTTTGTTTTGAAAGGTTTAAAAGCAAAAGAAATTTATGAACAATTGTTGGAAGTGTTTAAGGAGTCCTCACCTTCAAATCCGCTTAATTTTGAAAAACCGCAACCACATATTCATAATTATGTTAGTGAAGATCCAAGTTTGAATAAGCGTGAAATTGCTAATGCCATAGGCATCTCAGACGAACGACTTCAACAGACCTGTATCTCCGAAACGGCTGGACAGACCGTCTTGAATTTTTCACATGAAATATTTTGATGTATATGTTTGACCGAAGTAATAAGATTTTTTATAATTCAAATTATATTACCTCAATTTTTTCACAAGGCGCCATTTGTCAAAAATTAAAATATTAAACTTTTTGGTATTTAGATTTGATATAATCTGCCCCTAATTAATCTAACCCCTTAAATAAATATGAATCTTGCTGCGATGGTTTGTACAATAAAAACCTGTCGAAAATAGAAAAAAAATGTAATTACTAATTTTACAACAATACATGTCACCATATACATTTTTATGGGAAAAGTTTCCTTTCAATATTAATTTGTAAAGAAGTAAAAAGAAGCAGAAGAAATAATTGTATATTCATTAATAACAAAGTAAAATCACTTTCTACAAACGAAAGGCTTAGAGATTTGTCTTCGGCCTGACCGAGATATAAGTTCATTCTAATTCTTGAATTTTTCTCCAAAATGTACTTGGTACAATTTTAAGCAATTTAATTTTTTTCTTACTTCTTACCTTCCGCTATAATTGCTTTAAGAACGCTTAAAATCAAGCAGCTTTGAAAAGGAGTTAATCCCTTGCAAGCAGTTGGGAGTTGCTTCCAGTGAATCACTGCAATCGATTTCAATACAATGACTCATTAACTCCTTACAAGCGAGTTAATGAGTGAGTAAGTGATTCTCGCGAGAAACACACACAATTTGATTTTACAGCAATATTGTTTGATTATGTTTTTCGCATTGCTGCTACGCGCAGTGCAACTTTAGATTGCCGCTTGTATGTCGCTTGCATTTATTTACCTTTTGCTGCTCGCTTGGCTGTTGTTGACTTGCCGTTGCACTGGTGCGATGCTTTTGCTGCTTGTTTGTTGTTGTCACCGCTGCAGTCAGCACGCCCCCTTGCCACTTGCTGAGGTCAACCACTTTCGAAAATTCACGCGTAAATACCGCACAACAACACGAATAACAAGCGGGCCGTAAAATTGTGCCAGCACAGCAACAATTACAACAGTAATTGGTACAACAATGAAACGGGGTCGCCAAAGAATCCCGCACACAATAAACTACCGAAATTATGGCCACACGTTTTTTGCGATTTTTCGTTTTTTTCGCTTTGTTTTTATTTTATTTTTTTTTTTAATTTGTAATTTGTAATTTTATTTATTTATTGCAATTTCTTTGTTTTGATTTCTTATTGCATTTATTTATGTATTTTCACGCCTTTGGCAGTTATTAGCTGCTACTCACATATTGTTGTTGTAATTTTATTTATTTATTGCAATTTCTTTGTTTTGATTTCTTATTGCATTTATTTATGTATTTTCACGCCTTTGGCAGTTATTTGCTGCTACTCACATATTGTTGTTGTTGTTTTTCTTTTACGTTCTCACTATTCGCCAGCGCCTTATTTGTGCGTTTGTTTGCGTGTTATTGTTATTCACCTTGTCACATGCTGCGACTCACATGCACCCAGAAAGCGACAGCGATAAATATTAGGCAAATGACATTCAGGTGGGTGGCAGACGGCTGCGTTTTTGGAATATTTGCGATTCTTTATCGATGCCTTTTCTTTTTTTTTTTTTTTATTTTGCAAATGAGAGAACATTCAAGTGTTTGTTTTAATGAATGAAATTCTGAGATATAAATATTTATTTGAGAAAACTAAAAATTCTCGTAAGGAAAATAAAATCTCAATGATCAGCGTGGCGAGCTGACTCGATTTAGCTATGTCGCATGTATAAACCCGAACTAATACTTCAGTTTTTGAGCAATCATGCTGAAATTTTACACACGTTCCTTATATGGAAAACTGTTTTATTTGAAGAGATATCTTTACGAAATTTGGTATAGATTATTGCCTAAGACAGTGCTAAAATCTTCGAACATATTGCTTAGATCGGACCACTATAGCATATAGCTGCCGTACAATTTTATCGATCAAAATTAAGATACATACTTTCTTATACCCTTTTTTGCTATAAGAAATTCACCTGTGAACGGCTTTTATTTTAATTATATTAGGTGATAATGTAATATTGCTTGTGAAATTGTTGTAAAATTGTAAGCATATTACTATTAAATTGGCATATTAATATAAGCAATAGCCATAATTTTTTGAGTCGCTGTATTACTTTAAATATAAATAAATTAACTAACATATTTAATTCTTTTTTTGTTTATTAGTATTACTTTTTATAAATATATTTTTTATATACATTTATTTCATTTCAAGTTTCTGAGTTTTTCTATTGGATTTAAGTTAATTTAGTTTCATTCAACTGATATTATTTAATTTAACGCGTTTTCATTAACTTTATTTTAATCAATTTTATTTCATTCACTTTATTTTTCTTCATTTTATGTTTCATTTAATGTCTTCAAGCCTCTAAATTTGCTCAGGAAACTTAATCAAACAGTTTATTAGCTAGAAATCGAAAGTGAATGCGAATCAACAGCTCCACCAGCGGCTGCTGCAATGCCGAAAAGTAAACGACCTTTGTTGCCATAAAAAATCGCTCTGAGCCAATAAAACCAAAATCAACAAACATGCGGTGACAAATCGAAACACACAGCAATGAATATGGAAACACTATAGGTGGAGGAAAAAATATGTCGCGAACACGAATTCAACACCTCGCACGCTTGCCGCTGCACCGCGCTTCACTAGCTGTGCACCGTAGCCAGAAACGCTAAGCGCTATCACAACACGCGAGCACACACGCGCGCACGATTTCATGCACTAATGGCAGTCGCTGAATGACTGAATAAAGCCAAACCGGCAAATGTTGCATGCAACACGAACAGCAGCCGCACTAAGTACACTGTGTCACCAAAGTCGGCCGAAATACCGATAAATGACCGAAAAAAGGCGCAAACTAACACAAATAAATGAGGCAATACGCGTACACAATTAAGCTCCGTTGAAGCGCTGGTTCGTGTGTTTATGTGTGTCAGCGTAAAGCGTGCAACGAAAGCCAACTTTGCATTGCGCTGATTAAAAGGCAATAACAAAACTACGAAAACACAACTGCCGCGTCGCTTACAACAACTTGTAGTTACTGTTCACTAAAGCCACTTTACTGCTTGGTTAGCCGAGACCACTCGAATTCGCAACCGCACACGCCGAACGCACAAATTGTACTGATGAAACCCAACAACGCCCGAGCTGCTGGAAGCTTTGGCGTCCGCCTCAGCGACCGTGACAGTGAGTGGCAGCAACACGACCACCGGCCGCGCCGCCGACATCAACGCCACTGCGGCGACTGCGCGCTGCTTGACGTCCCATATTTGCCGGCCTATGCAAAGCCAACAATAAGTCGAATGCACGAATGCGCTTGAAAGTGTGCGCTTTTGTGTGTTTTGCTTCGACCAAATCTCGTGTGTTCTTTGGCGGCGTCATTGCGTTTGCTTCATTGATATGCTGCAGGCTTTGCGGCACGAAACAGCTGTATAGATAGCAGCGCTCTCTGCGTTGCACATCAGCAGCTGTTCGACGGCTGAGCAAAGCAAGAAAATTACTGTGAGAAAAGTGGTGGAAAACTTTAGCAAAACACAAACATTGCAAAATAGGTAACAGCAACATGGAGGCAAGTGTATGTGTAAGTCCGAGAGTGTGTAAGGTTTTTTCCTTTGGCCACAATGCGCGTTGCCAACATGCTGATATGTTGCTGTTGCCAGCAACCACTTGAAACATGTTCCGTAAGCGTTTTGTGGCTAAACAAGTTCTAAGCAACATTTGGTGGGGAAAGTTTCATATTTATTGTCATATAATAATTAGATAATCCTTTGAAAAATATATTTGAATATAAATTAATTAAGTTTTAGATTAATATTAAAAATTAGTAATAAATATTTTTTCTATTAGTGGAAAAAGATATTAATAAACTAATTGTTTTTTTTTTTAATGAATAAAAGGGTTAAAAAGTTAATACACAGAAAATAATAATGATGAAAATAAGCAGTTCTATTTTATAAAGGTCATAAAATAAATAAATAATAATGATTATAATACATTTTACACCAATTTATAAGGTCTACATGTAGTAAAACGGAATCTATAATTTTATAATTTTTCTAATAAACGGCTTCAATTAGCTGTATATCGCCTTACTTAAATGCGATCGCGTTACGCTATATTGCGTTAGAATAATAAGATTTCACACTAAAAAGATTTCTCAGACAGTTTTTTAATAGCTTGGTTTAGTATTTGTTGAGCCCACATTAAAAATGGGCAGCAGCAAAGAGAAAATACAATATATATATATTTTACAGTTTTTCTTCGATAAGCGCGAAAACACAAGCCAGACAGTTGAAAATGTGAACATTGTTTATAGTCCTGATACTGTAACAGATAAATATGTACAATTTCGGAAATTTTTTTTTTAAATGCACTCGTCGAGTACTCCCCTCATTTCAAATTTCCCGGGATTTAAAAATTGCACAGTAAATATAATTTGGAATCATTTAAACACGACTGAATACCAAATCAACATCGATATATGGGTGCCACACGAGTTTACGCAAAACAAATCTCATGAACCGAATTTTCATTTGCGAACCGCTACTGAATCGCATGAAAATCGATCCATTTTTGAAGCGGATAGTCTCTGGCGATGAAATGTAAGTGGTTACTTATGACAACGTCAAACGAAAACAGCCGGGTCGAATCGCTGTCAGCCAGCGCAAGCGGATTGGCATAATCTACTATGAGCTGCGGCCAAACTTTAAATTCGAACTGTCAAAAATTAGACCACCTCAAAAAAGCCAGCTTTGATCAATAGGAGACGAATTGTGTACCATCAGGTAACACATATCGTGTGTTGCCCGTCAGAAGCTCCGATAGCTTGGTTGGAAGGTTCTCATGCATACTTATCATAGTCCGGGCCTGGCATCAAGTGATTACTAGTACCTGTTCCAGCCCATGGCGAACGATTTTGCTGGGGAAAAATTCGTCTCACGAGAAGCTTGGGAAAATCGACTGGATTAATATTATATTAAAATGCTACCCAAACAGGTTAAATTAAAAAAAATCCTCTTTCAGTTTCTCAATATTTCAATAATTCGCTGAGTAATTTGAGTTCTTACAATATATAAAACTTCATTATCAACATGTTGCCTTTTAAATGTTGCAGCGCACATTTGTTTTAGCCAATTATGATGCCAATGAGAACTCACTCAGCTCGCTTACTATGAGCATACAAATCAAGCACTTGTCAGCAGTCACTGCTGCCGTCTTTTCACGCTGGCTTTTCATTCATACGCCGTTGATATCAATGCACTCGATTCGTCTTTTACAGTCAATACAAATGGATTATCGCGGAATGCACTTCAACTCGAAAATGAAGGAAACGAACGGCAAGTGAATGACAAAGCATGCGCTGCATAATAAACCGGCAAATGTAAATCCAACGCAGCTGGCGGCTGTTCATTCACATTGCCGTCTTTTGGTGTAATTTAATATGTTAAATGGATCGTTGGATTGAAGTTTAATTTCGAAAAATAATTTCAAAAATATTTATAAAAACCTATTAAGAAATTAGTTAGTATTTACAAAAAAAATATTATTTACAAATATATATCTCCCTCAAAAATAATTTCTAAACAATCCTCTTTTTCCACAAATTCTACCAAAAAATTCTTCTGAAAATTAAGAGTAATTAAAAAATGTATGTTTAGAAAACAAAAATGAAGATAAAACCATTCAGAGAATTAAGAAGAAATATAAAATTTATAATTTTAAAAAATTACTAAAACATTTTTCAGAAAAATATTCAGAGAATTAAAAAAAAATAAACAAATTATGATAAAAAAAATTATTTTTAATTATTTAGAAAATTTAGAAGGAATAAATAGTTTATCATAAGAAAAAAAAAAAATTGTTTTGAGAAAAATATCCAGAGAATTATAAAGAATTAAAAATTTGTAACTAAAAAAAAATATTGAAACATTCAGTAAAATGTTCAGAAAATCAGGAAGAAACAAATCATTCATTACTAGAAAAGATTATTAAAAAATTGTTCAAAAGATTTAGAAGAAATAAAAAATGTGTAACAAGTAGTGAAAGGCTAAGTTCGGGTTCATTGTTGCTCGATTTGCATACTGGAAAGTGAAAAAATCAGATGAAATTTAAAATAATGTTACATCGGAAATAAGCGTGGTTGTACTCCCATTTCGCCCATTTTCGCACTATAACATAGAAATACAAAAAGAATGTTATGTACCGAATTTGGTTCAAATCAGTTAAGCAGATCCCGAGATATGGGTTTTCACCCAAAAGTAGGCGGTACCACGCCCGTTGACTAATTTTGAACGCGGTTCCTATAAAGTCATCTCATATCATCCTAGATATAAAATTTAATGTCTCTGGCGTGTTTAGTGCTTAGTTTATCGCGCTTTTAGTATTTTTTAACAGTACCGTTATATAAGAATTGTGCGGGGTTGTCACCCGATTTCACCCCACACTGTGAGTAGAGGTGCTAAAACCATTTGCTTCCAGTGGTTTATTTTCATTCAGAAACTTAAAAAATTAATCATGATTAGAAAATTTACAGAAAATTAAGAAAATTAAATTAATAAAATTAATTTTCTACTTAACACCCCTCTTTTTCCACTAATTCTATTAGTTGAAGAAAATGTCTATTCCGAGCACCATTACCATTATCCTCCAATTTATGCCTTCAATTAGCCACCGCGAAAAGAAGCTTTAATTGAAAGCTTTCACGGCCACATACCTACGTATGTGGACTGTAGCACTGCTTTGCATTGTTGCACATCCGCGCTAAAAAAATTGATTTTGTGTTTTCATTTTGTGCGCGCGCAATTAAGTGCTCCAAATCGTTGCTGAACAATTTCAACTTTGTTTAAAAGTGTTAAATACTGCAATTTTTAGTGCCATCAGCTGTGCAGCTCACATACAAGTTTGTTTCCAATATGTATGCCGCACCAATTAAAAGCGGTTAGGGCTCCTATGTGTACATACGTATACACTAGTTTAGCTTGAACAACTTTCACTGTGTCCTGATGCCACCGACAAACCAACTTCGCCGCCCGGCAACCTCACTCTCCTGCATTTAACGGCAGTTATGCTGGCTAGCTGCACTTTAATGCGACTTTAAGCAACACAAACACATTTGCAGTTGTCTAACTGTGTTTTTGTCTGAATAAACAACAGTTTTATTGCATCCTGGCAGCTGGGAGTTGGGCACTTGCAGTTGCATTTTGTTGCCACTTTCCACACAATTGCGATAGTTTTGGTAAATAAACAATTTTAAATAACCAAAAAGAGGGGAGAATAGTCGAAAAGTGGTGCAGAATAACAGTAAAATTTGCAGCAAAGTGGCGAAGAAAAACAATTGCACAAGTCGTGCTGCTCAAATCGCTGCACTTTAAGCAACAACGAAAACTTCGCTTCCGCCTCTTCTCCCCAACGCTGCTTCCCTACCACCATTTTGTCTGCTGATTTTGCTTGTTGTTACACGCATTTTCCGCTCCCCTCCGCCGACAGCTGAAGCCAACCGAAGCGTGTTGATAATAAAAGAAATTGAATATTTATGGTGATGAACAAAAAGTCGCTCTGTGATTACAACCCCTTGCAGCCAGCGAGACTTCTTAGCGCTGGTCAATATTGAATTCAAATCCAAAATCATTTGAGTTGTCCGCACGCACTCATTGTCGATTGTGCTTCCGACTTAAAGCAGCGCGGTCAACCCTTTGCACTTAAAGTGTAGAATGTTTCAGCTTTTTCTGCGCATTTTGTGTCCGTTCAATTTGCTACATACTCCATTTTTATTTTCCGTTCTAATTTCTTTTTATTTATATTATCTACGAATACTTGTTCAATCGTACCAAATATATATATACTTGTATTTATGTATGTTGGCTCTGAAAATTTCGTTGTAACAGCAAAATAAATGTGTTGTCGGCAGCTATAAAGGTCGCGTAATAAATTTGAGCTAAAATCGACAATTACCAGAATTTAATGAAGTGAGTAGGGTTGTTGAGCAAGTACATAAATGGTATATATAAAGTAGGAAAAAGTGGATTTTTGTGTCACATTTAATTTAAAATGTATAAGTAAAAAATGTATCCAATTTGCAAACAAATCCACTGGGAGCGTCAAATATTCGCCGTGTCTGGTATTTTGACTGGAAAATTAGGGGTTGTTGAAAACATGACTTCTTTTAACTTTAAAAATGAATATAAGTGGCATAAGTAATTAAAATAAATGCTCAAAAGTTAAACAAAAACATATGAGTATAGAGTATATGAAAATAGTATTATATAGTAGTTGTAAAATCACTGCCCCACAGCATGGTTTATAGAAAGTAGTAGTCAATTAAAATATTTTACCCCTTAAAACGACTGTTATAATTCTTTATTTGCTCTGTGTCTCAGGTCAGAAAAACGCGCTTCTTTTAAAAATTTTTTGAAGAGGCATTTTCTTTAATAAATAAATAAATAAATGTACATGTATGAAGTAAAATGTACTTTTTAATCGATGATTCATTTAGAAACATTTCTGATTCCCTTGGTTTAGTAGCCAATCTCCAGGAGCTCTTCCGAAAACAGTTATTTAACGTTGAGTAAATTTTTCTGCTTAAAACTTAAATACAAAATCTAAAATATTTAAGGTTACTATAGAGGAGTGCGGTATTAAGTGAAATATCAGTAAAAATTTAGATTTTTGATAAAATGGCGGCCTCTTAAAATAGTTTTTGTGCCAAATTTTTACTTTAAGGT